TATGATGTTGGCTGAAGGTCTCTCATATATGGCCTTTATTATGTTGAGGAATGCTCCCTCTGTTCCCACTTTGCCGAATGTTTTTATCATGAATGGGTGCTGTACCTTATCAAATGCCTTTTCTGCATCAATTGATATGATCATGTGGTTTTTGTCTTTGCTTTGGTTTATGTGATGTATTACATTTACTGACTTGTGAATATTGAACCATCCTTGCATCCCTGGAATGAATCCCACTTGGTCATGGTGTATGATCTTTTTAATGTACTGTTGGATGTGGTTTGCCAGTATTTTGTTGAGGATTTTAGCGTCAATGTTCATCAGTGATATTGGCCTGAAGTTTTCTTTCTTTGTTGTGTCTTTATCTGGTTTTGGAATTAGGATGATGTTGGCCTCATAAAAAGAGTTTGGGAGACTCCCATCTTTTTGGATTTTTTGGAATAGTCTGTGAAGGATAGGGGTTAGCTCTTCCTTAAATGCTTTGTAGAATTCTCCTGTGAAACCATCTGGTCCCGGGCTTTTGTGTGTTGGGAGTATTTTTGATTACTGCTTCAATTTCTTTTTGTTGTTATTGGTCTGTTCAGGCCTTCTGCTTCTTTTTCATTGAGTTTTGGAAGATTATATTTTTCTAGAAAGTTGTCCATTTCACCTAGGTTTTCAAATTTCTTGGCATACAGCTCTTTGTAGTAATTTCTTACAATCCTTTGTATTTCTGTGGTATCTGTTGTAATCTCTCCTCTTTCATTTCTGATTGTGTTTATTTGGGTCTTCTCTTTTTTTTCTTGATGAGTCTGCTTAAAGGCTTGTCGATTTTGTTTATCTTTTCAAAGAACCAGCTCTTGGATTCATTGATCCTTAGAATTGTGCTTTTAGTCTCTATGTCATTTAATTCTGCTCTGATCTTGGTTATTTCCTTCCTTCTGCTTGCTCTGGGCTGCCTTTGTTGTTGTTCCTCGAGTTCTTGTAGACGTAGGGTTAGGTTGTTTGTTTGGAATGTTTCTAACCTTTTTAGGTGGGCCTGTATCACTATGAACTTCCCTCTCAGGACTGCCTTGGCTGTGTCCCATAAGTTTTGGGTTGTTGTGAGTTCGTTTTCATTTGTTTCCAGAAACCTTTTGATTTCTTCCCTAATATCATTCTTGACCCATTCATTGTTTAATAGCATGCTATTTAATCTCCATGATTTTGAGTGTTTCTGGTTTTTTTCCTTCGGGTTGGTTTCTAGCTTCAGTCCCTTGTGGTCTGAGATAATGCTTGGTATGATTTCAATTTTTTGAAATTCTTGAGGCTTGTTTTGTGTCCTATCATGTGGTCTATCAAATATTCCATGTACATTTGAAAAGAATGTATATTTAGCTTCTTTTGGATGGAGGGCTCTGTATATATCAGTAAAGTCCATTTCATCAAGGGTATTGTTCAGTGCCACAATATCTTTGTTGATATTTTGTTTATAAGATCTGTCCATTTTTGATAGTGGGGTGTTAAAAATCTCCCACTGTAATTGTGTTGCTGTCCATATCTTTCTTGAAGTCCTCTAAGATTTTCTTTATGTATTTCGGTGCTCCTATGTTGGGTGCATATATATTTACAATATTTATGTCTTCTTGATGGATTCTTCCCTTGAGTATTATGAAGTGACCTTCTGGGTCTCTCTTTATGGACCTTTTTTGGAAGTCTATTTTGTCTGATATGAGTATTGCTACCCCGGCTTTTTTTTTCCTGTCCATTTGCTTGGAAGATTTGTTTCCAGCCCTTCACTTTCAGCCTGTGTAGGTCTTTTATCCTGAAGTGGGTCTCTTGTAGACAGCAGATATGTGGGTCATTTTTTCTTATCCATTCAGCTATTCTATGTCTTTTGATTGGAGCATTTAATCCATTTACGTTTAAGGTTATTATTGATAGGTACTTATTCATTGTCTCTTATGTACGTGCGTTCCTCTCTCTCTCTCTCTCTCTTTTCCCTCCCTTCCTTAAAGCAGTCCTTTTAGAATCTCTTGCAGAGCTGGTTTGGTCGAGGTGTATTCTTTTAGACTTCTTTTGTCTGGGAAGCTTCTTATTTGGCCTTCTATCTTGATCGAGAGCCTTGCTGGGTATAGTAGCCTTGGTTGCAGCCCTCTGGTTCTCATTACCTGGAGTATTTCTTGCCATTCTCTTCTGGCTTGAACTATTTCCATTGAGAAGTCAGCTGTTAGTTTTATTGGGGCTCCCTTGTATGTTACTTCCTTTTTCTCCCTTGCTGCCTTTAAGATTCTCTCTTTGTCTTGAAATTTTATCATTTTAATTATGATGTGCCTTGGGGTGGGTCTCTTTGGGTTCCTCTTGATTGGGACTCTCTGTGTTTCCTGGATTTGTGTGACTTTTTCTCTCATCAAATTAGGGAAGTTCTTCATTACTTGTTCAACTAGGTTTTCGATCCCTTGCTTTTCTTCTTCTCCTTCTGGTATCCCTATTATACGGATATTATTATGTTTCATATTGTCTTGCATTTCTCTTAATCCCTCTTCATTCTTTCTGAGCCTCTTTTCCTTTTCTTGCTCTTTCTGGATGCTGTTTTCTACTTTGTCCTCCAGCTCGCTAATCTGATCATCTGCTTCATCGATCCTGCTTTTCGTTCCTTCTACTGTGTTCTTCAGTTCAGAAATTGTATTCTTCATTTCCTCTTGACCTTTGTTGAGAGTTTCCATTTCTTTTTTCATGTTTATATAGTTTGCAGTGAGATTGATGTAGTTTCCCTGTAATTTCTGAAAGCTCATTGTGAGATCATTGTGAAGTACACTATCTTCTTAAGACAGAAAAACACAACTACAAAGTAGCATGGGTAAATCTGATTAAAATTAAGAGCTTCTGTTTCTCAATAGACATAGAGTAAAAGACAAACCATACACTGGGAAAAGATGTTGCAGCAGAGCAACAGGTATAACCACCAAAAGCTTGATGTCCAGAATAAAGGTAGAAAACTTAATTGGAGAGAGATATACAAACAGCATATTCATATGTGTGTTTTACGTTAATATTTTAACTATATATTTTATATTATTTATAATGTACATCTCAATAATCTATTAATCAAGGAAATGAATATTAAAACCATAATAAAATATCATCGATCTTGATCAGTTTGGCAAAAATTTAAGGTGAGGCTCTGCAGTAATGAGGGCATGTAGTAATGAGGATTCTCATTCACTATTGGTGAGAATCTAAATTGGTACAATCACTTTGGGAAGACCATTTGACATTATCTTGAAAAGATGAATGTGTATATGCCCTATGACACAGCAGTTGCACTCCTACATATATATATGCCCTAAAGAAAATCTCATACACATGTACACCAGGAGCACAGTTTATATTAGCAAAAAACTAGAAACAACCCAAATATCTTTCAAAGGAAAATGGATAAATTGTGACATATGTATAGCGTAAATGAATGGATTTCAGCTATATGCTTTAATATCAGTGAATCTCAGAAACATAATATTGGAGGTAAAACAAACTATGGACAGTAGTAATTCAATTTACTGGTACATAGTGTTCGAAACAGCCAAAATGAAATAAAATATTTAGGCTCTGGTACCTAATATATGCCACAGAATTGGCTAAAATTGTTAATTTTAATGGACATGAAGGAAATCTATAAAGAACAGCAAGGTGTGATTAACACAACTGTCATATTGGGGGTTACTTATAGGTAGGATGTGATCATTCAGGGGCATACTGTGGATTTCAAAGATATTCACAGTATTGTTCAGCTAGGTAGTAAGAACATGTTTTCCTTTTATAAGTCATTCTTTCAGCTGTACATATATATTAAGTATCTTTTTTTATGTATGTGTATTTCACAGTAAAATCCTTTTAGAAATTCATTAAAATGACATTTAAACTTTTTGTATCAGCATGGTAGTCACGCCTTTCCCTTTTACAGTTTAAAAATGGGTACAGGCTATAATGTGCTATCCATGAATAGCTACAGTATTCCTTTTTAAATCTTTGAAAACTCTTCTCACTTTGCTTTAATAATTGCCTCCCAGTCATTATTATGTTGTATAAAAGTGGGAAATAGCCCTGGCTGGTGTAGCTCAGTGCATTGAGCACCAGCCTGCAAACCAAAGGGTCACAGGTTTGATTCCCAATCAGAGCATATGCCTGGGTTTCAGGCCAGGTCCCCAGTAGCGTGCACATGAGAGGCAACCACACATTGATGTTTCTTTCTCTCCCTCTCTCTCTCCTTTCCTTCACCACCCTCAGAAAATAAATAGTCTTTTTTTAAAAAGTGGGAAATAAATAACTTAAATCAATGCAGTGAAGATAAAAGAAATTATACTAGACTAAAAATACAAGCTTTCTGCTTCCCGAGCTTATGCTTTGAAATCATGTTTATCCAAGCATAGGACTTCTTCGTATTTTTATAAGAAATGCAAATTTTTGTGCATCTCTAATCATCTTATTAGGCATTTAATAGAATAGGCTCCCATGTAGAATTTCTGTAGGTTAGCTATAAGTCACAGAAGGCTGCATGTGTTTGCAGTGCATTGCCTATGTTTGCTATGCAGTTCTTTTTTTTAAGTACACTACACCAACTTTATCTTGTGTACTGCAGATGTCCATTGCTGATTTGCATTTGTGCATGTTTGTAATTTGATAGCTCTTCCTCATAGGGTATTTGGTTCACTGTGGATAAATGTAAAGTGTAAAGAAGCTTTTTTAATTTGTTGCTGATCTGCCACCAGTGCCTCTAGGCATGCAGCATGGGTATGGCCAGGCCCAAGGTACATAGTCTGAAGAAGAGAAAGGAAACAAAAGGAGGTACAGAAAAAGTAATATTGTGTCCCTTGATACTTGTTCTAGGACTAGGGAAGATGCAGTTTTGTTCTGGGTTAGTTTTGAATATTGAAATGTTAAAGAGCTATTATTTCAGGGAATATAATTTTTTGCACAATTTATTTTTTTCCCTAAAACACATGTCTTCTCTTAGCTTTGTTTGTTTGTTTCTTTATTTATAGACACCGTTGATTCCATTACTCCAGACAAAGTACGAGGTTTAAGGGATATGTTGAACAGCAGTGCAATGGACATAATGTATTATACTAGCCCACTTTATAGAGATGAAGTAAGTATCATGATTATCTTGTTGCTGTTGGGTATTTTGTAGAGTGATAGCATATGTGTCCTGAATTTTAACATTTATGCTTTTTTTTTACAAATGAGAAATTAAAGGAATCTATTAATCTGTTAGTAGCCTGTATTAATAGTGAATTTGATCATCTTCAAACTGCATATTGAGACCATTAATAAAATGAATGGTTTTGAAAGTGGAAGATTGGTTAGGAAATATCTCTGAAAAATATCAGTTTTCATAAATTTGGTTAATTATGTTTATGATTGTTGCCCTCACAAAAGAGTTTTAGACAGAAAGTTCCTTCAAATTTTTTGTAATAGACTTCCTATTATTATTTCTGTAATGGATTCTTACAGTTCTCAAACAGTAATGTTGCTTACATATCACAAAGACAACCCTAATGGGGATGAGGGCTGAAAGTTTATTCAGAGGGATGAGAGAATCTCTACCACTGAATTTTGTCACTCTGCTGGTAAGAGAAAAAGAATTCTCTTTCATAGGAATAACTTTGTTAATTATCTAACATGTATTAACCTGTTTAATCCTCCTCAAAACCCATGAAGTAGATAGGGTTAGTGTTCGCATATGAAGGTTGGAGTGATGCGTGCAAGGAGTAATATACCAGTAGAGCCACTCTGTGCTGCTCCAAGACAATCCATTTCTGATTTTATTCAGTCGAAGTCACTCCCTGACTTCATCCAGGATATTCTTTACATAGCTGCAGAAATATTCTGGTTAGTTGCCACAGAAACTTTCTTCTTTTCTGGCTGCTATCCCCTAAGGTTATATCTTCATTTTTCTTTTCTGTATCCCTTCATCTCCATGTACCAGTATTAGACAAGGTCTTCCTTGATCTGATTACAACAGTAAAAGCAGCTGTGAGGAGAACTGCTATTTGCACCTAATTCTAGCCAAGGAAGGCTCAGTTGATGAAGTAGAATATTAATGATTTACATATCTATAGTTCTTTATAGTGTCTAGTGAGCATTGTTAGTTATGCCCTAAAGGTTAGAAAATTGGATTATAGTATTGTAAGTGAAATCAGTGAGGGGTGGGAGAAGAGAATGGCTGAAAGCATATTACTGTGTGCACACTCCCCCATATATATGCCTTACACACACACACACACACACACACACACCCACACACCATTGGTAGTACTCCTAAGAAGGTATCCTGACTGTTCAAGGCTTAAACATATTGAAATATAATGACGATTTTACTTTTTGTTTTTTAAGATTTTATTTATTTTTAGAGAGGGAAGGGAGGGAGATAGAGAGAAACATCAATGTGCGGTTGCTGGGGGTTATAGCCTGCAACCCAGGCATGTACCCTGGCTGGGAATCGAACCTGGGACACTTTGGTTCCCAGCCCGCGCTCAATCCACTGAGCTACGCCAGCCAGGACGATTTTACATTTTAAGTTAATGTTAACAACAAAAACTAGAAAAGAGAAAAGGGTCAGACTCAAAACTCTGAGCTTTGGCTAATGATGACTAAGACAGTGATCACTTTTTATTTTGCTCTTATAATCTTTAAAGATAGTTATCCTCAAGGCCCTGGCTGGTGTGACTCAGTGGATTCAGTACCAGCCTGCAAAGGGTTGCCAGTCTGATTCCCAGTGAGGGCACATGTCTCAGTTGCAGGCCAGGTCCCCAGTAGGGGGTGTGTGAGGGGCAACCACACACTGATGTTTCTCTCCCTCTCTTTTTCCCTCCCCCACTCTAAAAATAAATAAATAAATTTTCTTCAAAACTCATGTATTTAAAAAAAGAGATAATTATCCTCAGATTAGAATTAAATAAAACAGATAATTTAGTAGCAAGTGGGAAATGGAAAAAGAATACCAGTGTTTTAAATTGGTTTTTTGATTCAGTTGAACTTCATGGAAAAGCACTGAGAATTTGTGACTGAGATTCATCAGCAGCTGTTAGCAATGTTTCCCAAATATCCACAGTTAGAATAATCACCTGGATGCTTATTGAAATTGCAGTCATAAAAAGAACCCCATGGGGACTTCCAGCCAAGATGGAGGCATAGGTAGACACACTGTGCCTCCTCACACAACCAAGATAGGGACAACAACAATTTAGAAACAGAATAACAACCAGAACTGACAGAAAATTGAACTCTAAGGAAGTCAGACAACCAAGAAGTCAAAATAGACACGTTTATCCAGACAGGTAGGAGGGGCAGAGTCAGGCAGCCGGGCTCGGGTCCTGGCGTGGAGAGCAGAGAGCATTGGGACCAGACGCGTAAGGCATCGGGGCACACAAGACTGCAGCAGGTGGACCCAGAGCACTCAAGCAGCAGCTGGCAGACCCCAGCCGAGGGGTGGCAAACAGCAGAGCCAGCAAGGCAGCGATTGTGAAGCAAGGCACTGCTCGAAACCCAGGATCCCAGTGCTGGCAAATAGAGCCTTGGGCACTGATTGAAAACACCTGTGGGGGTTGAGGCGCAAGGAGAGACTCCCAGCCTCACAGGAGAGGTCCTTGGAAAGTCCCACGGTGTGTACAAGCCCACCCACATGGGAATCAGCACCAGAGGGGCCCAGTTTGCTCAGGGGAAGCAGCAGAAGGGACTGAGGTCCAACTGAGAGCGGAGCAAGCGCCATTGTTTCCTCTCAGACCCTGCCGCCATATACAGTGTCACAACCCAGCCACTGGGGTGCCTCACCCTGGTGAACACCTAAGGCTCCGCCCCTCATATGGAACAGGCGCGACCAGACCAAAGGAAAAAAAAAAGATGGCTCAAACAGAATTGAAAGCCCCACAATCAGTACTTTTAAGCGACCGAGAGATAGCTAACCTATCAGATGCACAGTTCAAAGCACTGGTGATCAGGATGCTCACAGAATTGGTTGATTTTGGTTGCAAAGTACTTGAAAAAATGAAGGCTCCAATAAGTGAAATGAAAAATGCACAGGGAACCAATAGTGATGGAATGAAAGCTGGGTCTCACATCAATGGAGTGGACCAGAAGGAGGAAGAAAACATACAATCAGAAAAGAATGAAGAAATAAAAATTCAGAAAAAATGAGAGGCTTAGGAACCTCCAGGACATCTTTAAACGATGCAACACCCGAATTATAGGGGTACCAGAAGGAGAAGAGGAGGAGCAACAGGTGGAAAACTTATTTGAACAAATAATGAAGGAGAACTTCCCCATTCTGGCAAAGGAAATAGACTCCCAGGAAATCCAAGAAGCTCAGAGAGTCCCAAAGAAGTTGGACCCAAGAAGAAACACACCAAGGCACATCATAATTACATTAGCCAAGGTAAAAATGAAGGAGAGAATCCTAGAAGCAGCAAGAGATAAGGAGACATTAACCTACAAAGGAGTTCCCATCAGACTGTCAGCTGATTTCTCAAAAGAGACCTTACAGGCAAGAAGGGGCTGGAAAGAAGTATTCCAATCATGAAAGTCAAGGACCTACATCCAAGATTGCTCTGTCCAGCAAAGCTTTCATTTAGAATGGAAGGTCAGATAAAGAAAGTGCTTCTCAGATAAGGTCAAGTTAACGGAGTTCATCATCACCAAGCCCTTATTATATGAAATGTTAAAGGGACTTATCTAAGAAAAAGAAGATAAAAAACATGTATAGTAAAATGATAGCAAACTCACAATTATTAACAACCACACCTAAAACAAAAACAAAAACAAACTAAGCAAACAACTAGAACAGGAACAGAACCACAGAAAGGGAGATAACATGGAGGGTTAGCAACAGGGGAGTGGGAGAAGGAGAGAGGAGGAAAAGCTACAGAGGATATGTACCTATTTTCTACCTACATGGTAGATAGAAAATAGACAGGGGGAGGGTAAGAATAGTATGGGAAATGTAGAAACTAAGGAACTTATAACACATGGACATGAACTAAAGAGGGGCAATGTGGGTGGGAGAGGGTGTGCAGGGTGGAGGGGAATAAGGGAGGTAACGGGACAACTATAATAGCATAATCAATAAAATATATTTTTTTAAAAAGAACCCCATAGGGGAACCTTGGAATTTAGGGTATCAGTGTGACTTTATGATTTGAAAATATGTTGGTGTGTATAGATATAGTCTATATATTTAAGTGTATATTGTTTACACACACCTATATTTCCTACTTCTGTTCATTGAAAGGGCCAGGAAGCAGATACCCCAATTTAATGAGCACACCTAGTACCCAGATCTTTTCCCCTATTATTCTCCCCTAAGAAGAACCAGAGTTACTTGGAAAAAAAGGCTGACTCCAGAGCTTGGAACAGAATAGGTAGAAGTCAAAGATAAAACAACGTGTTACAACAAAAAGTAGGAAAATACTCAAAAGAATGAGGGAGCAGGTCACAAGGTTAGAAGTCAGATTAAAAAAGCAAATCTCACTGGCCAAATCTGGAACAACTTGAGCACAAAATAAATCATTATTATTTCTTATTGTAAGGAATTAGTAGTACTTTTATACAGACTTACAATGAGGACAATGTAATAAGGGAATTTTGAATCATTGAAAAATTCATAAGTTCATATCAATTATAAATAGATAAACAAATGGGTGAAGGGAGGTCCTTTGCTAACAGTAGAATGCAAAGGTCTTAGTGGTAAATGTAGGAGGAATGCTGGAGTGGTAAAATCCTCAATTTGCAGCTGTCATAGTAGGATCAGGTAAGAGAGGGGTGGGCAAGAATCAATAGATACGAAATTGAGGGCAAAATCTTGATAAGAAACAGAATGGTCTCAGTGTATTCTCACACACTGTGTATTAGTTGAAATATGAGAAAAGGTATCTAGGCAGCCCCTGGAGCTGCCTGTATCCTGTAGGTATCCTGTATCAGAGGACACAGGATCACTGATGCAGTATTTCAGTCATGAGAAAACATCAGGCAAACACGAATGAAGGAAGTTATAATTAAAAAGTAGGATGATATTCTGGTTTCTCTTCAGATTATATAAATCTTTTGCCTTTTTCAAAGTAGGATGAGACTGTGTTCTTTTAAAAGGCCAACATC